TATATAAATGTATAATGCTATGAGATTTAAGATATTTAGCCTAAACATTTATGTTTTTGTCTTATAATTTGTGTTCATACTAAAATGAAAGAAGCATAATTTATATTTATTTCCTAATTTTTTATGGTGGTTATGAGATCAGTCAAATCTACCAAACCCTTACAGAGATTAATTACTGAAAATAACTGATAAAATATAAAGTTTTTTCTTAAGAAATCTTTGATAACTATCTGGACATTATAAATATTTTGCATGTGAAATTTTTCTGATGCATAAAAGTATTTTTAATCTTACAATGAAAATTACTTTGCATGCTAGATAGGCAACATTCGAAAAGAAGAAAAAGGCATGAGAAAAGCATTGCTTTACAAACCTTAAGACTTAATAAAAAAATTAGATATTTTGCATATGAAAGCATTGTAATGTTTACTGATAATTTGCCAAATTTCATTAACATTTGCCTACTAATTTAAAAGTTATAGCATGAAAACTATAACAAGCACAAAATGGTTACGAGGTCGGTCTCAAGGACCGGGCTGGTGCTGAAAGAGTTAATATGCTGTACACAACAAAAAACACTGTATTTATATTGTATTACTACCAACATTTACATGCTATACTCAACAAATTAAAACTTGTACTGTATGTCTACTAACATTAGCATGCTTTGCATAACAAAATAAACTTGTACTGTGTTTATGTCAACATTAATATGCTGTACTTAACAAAACAAACACATCTAAGCATAGAAACACTTTGGTCACCTGCATAGCTCTAGCTGACCTCTAATTCTAACAAGTAGCTGGTGCTCACTTTCAGCTCCACAACAAGACCATTACCAACTAGACGTATATGTCCTTTACATATGAAGAATATATTTATTTGAAGGTTTTTGTTTTTAAATGGAAAAGAAGTGACTTGGCCTTACCAGCCATACTGGTTTCTATGTTCCCTGCTAAGTAATGCTGTATTTTAGAACTGTAGCTCATCTCATTAAGTTCCCCTATTTTTTTTTCTTGAATGACTGCAAATTCTAACAGAAAACCACAATTATTTATGGTAAGTAGCTTAAAGCTTATGACAGTGTACATATATTTATACTTAAATTTTATTATTTTATTGCCCTTTGGACCATGTCTAACTATTATTCACCCCCATACAAATTGCAAATCATGTGGGGAAGTGTAGCTGACATTATGGTATTGAATTACATAGTGCATGGACTGCTTGCCAGAGTGCCTCATAAAATCATTATTACTAATATTATTATTT